TCAAACCGGAAATGTGCACCTTCTCAAAACTAAAACTAAGAACATGGCTGCTTATGATTGTAACACTTATTAAGATGCAAAATTTAAGGAAATGTCAATCAGGCACATGACAATTGATTAGAAGTTGGGGTTCCATGATATAGCAACATAAACTGCGTCTGAGTATATCATTACCCAATAATGAATACAATTTGTATTATTAAAATGTAATTAACCTACACCAAGGCTTCCAAGAATCCAAGAACAAAATAATGCTCGTGAGTCATGACAGAAAAGAATACCAACTTTTAATACTAAAAATTATGTAATTTTAATAAATATATTTTTTAAATTTTTATCCCCAAACTAAGTAGTTTTTTATGAGAGAACTAAATAATATTTATATTTAAGACTCGGGGCTGCAAATTTTGTTTGTCACCATACTTTTTATGAATGACAACAATTACTCAACATTTAGAAATTAAAGCGAGTAACATTTGATCGAATGTGAGAGTAACTAGGCAAATTTAATTCGAGAAGACAATGAATGCTTAAGACAGACTTTAACATTAACATAGAGAAGCAGGGGTACAGAAGATGAAATGGCAAAAAAAAAAAAAAAAGCAAAAAAAAGGAGAGCATTGACACTAGCCTTCACAATATCTTTTCATTCCTAAAGCTATGCTGAAAAGGCTAAAGCCAATGCTCCTCTCATGCATTAAATTAAATCTACACTTATAAAAAAGAAAAAAAAAAAAAAAAAAGATAGGAAATATGAACCATGTGGACAGAGTGGTTTGCAAGTAGCTGTAGATTAGTCGAAGCAAAGCCTTGATACTTATATTATCTAAAAAAAATAAAACAAAAGAAACTCCTAGTTGTGAAGAGGATTTGGACCTGTGTGAATTACCCGCTTGTCATCGTCGTAAAGGGTATTCGGAGCGTCTGCGGCCTCTGGTGGCTCCGGCGGGGTTGGCGGTGGTGCATGGAACGAGACACTGTTAATGAGAAACCCGCGGGCTTTTCTTGGCAAAGTGTAGTGATGGTGTTTTTCTTCATGTAAACTTAACTCAGCGAAAATTAAGATGACCCAGAAGAGGAAAATCGCCGCCCTGACTCCACCGTATCGCCGCCGTAATTCTATGGAAACTGTCATTGCAGCGCCGCCTGCAAACTGGGAAATTTTACTAGTTTAGACACAGAGCCTGAAACAGGACCACAAAAGGAAAACAAGGGGATCCCCTGAAACTGAAACTGGACTTTATAGCGTGGAAATGGAAGTAGGTAGTTTGGAATAATTCTGGAAATCTCACTGGATGTTTAAAAATGCTATCTAGCTCAACAACAGCAGAGCAACAGGGTCTGTTTGGAGTATGAGAAAATGAGAGGGAAAAAAGAAAAAATGTTATTTTAACAATGGAAATGGTCATTGGGTGTTCCTCATCTTATGGGTCTGGGTCACATGATCTTTACCCTTGATTCATGGAACCTTCTTTTATCTTATTTTTCCCCCGTCGAATCTTTGGTCCCTGTACGTTTTACTGTTTGATTTTTCTTGTTGGGTATATTTAATCTCTGGTTTCTTGTTTTTTAGCTTTTGTTGTGTTCTACACATCTACAAATTATTTTTTCAATTAGTTTTTTTTATCTTCTGCGGTTCTGATGTTCGCTTGGACAGAGTGCTAATTGTGGGGGTGGGACTGTCCGGTATTAATAGCCGCTGTCTCCGGTAAATATTCAAAATTTTATGTCAAACTTAGATTTTTTTTAAATTGAAAATCAAGTCATTTTAATATTAAAAATGTTAAAATAATTAATCTTGTAAGTATAATAGATGAGATTTAAGCAAGGGTTAGTTACCTTATGTCACCTTCTGTCCTATTTAATGTATGACATATAGTACTAACAACTTAAATAACTCGATTGTAATTTTTTTTTACTAAAAATAAAAAGTCTTGAATTCATGACATACGGGTGGAATAAATAAAGAATGAAAAAAAGTTGCCTCCTGTTGTGCAACAAACATAAACAAAAAAATGTATGACATATGGTAAATTGAATATTTTGATATTTTTAAAATTATAATGTCTTAAAGTTTTGCTTTTTATTTTTTTTTCTTGAAACACATTCATTAAGAAAATATTGTAATTATAATATCATGTACTATTGTAAACTTACAATATGATATGTTGTTATATAATTGACTATTTTGATTTAAAATTTATTCATAATATTATATACATTTATTCATTTAATATAATGTTATAATTGTAAACTTATAATTTTATATAATATTATAACTATAATATTATCCAAATTCATTACAATTACAACATGTTTTCATAGTGTTTACATTTTATGTATTAAATAAGTGAATATATTTTTTTATTAATTCAAATAAATCACAACTCTTACCGTTGAGTAAAAGCATAATTACGTCTACATCTCTTTTTTTTTTCTCTTAAGTATGCCCAACCATTAAGCATTTCAATCTCTTAACATAAATGTCCAAGGTTTAAAATTTAAACGTCAAGACACCAAATGGGACATAAGAATAGTAGGAGGCCACTCTACGTATTAAAGAATTTACTAGGAACTTATAATATACATATATATATTTTTTATTTTCGTTGCACAATTGAGGCAATCATCTCTCATTTTTTATTTCATCTCACTCGCATACCATGCAATTTGAATTTAAGACCATTTATTTCTAGTGAAAGATGATAACTACTGAGTTATTTAAATAATTAAAAATATATATATATATATCAAAAATGCCTTTTAATATTCAATAATATTGGTAGACATCTTGGGTGATAGAAGTGTGCTTGCGTAGAGAAATTACCCAAATTGGTCTATCATTGAATATTTGAATAAAC